TCAGGGCTTTATAGGCTTTTAGGGTTTAGAGCTTAGGGTTTAGGGCTTAATGCTGACGGATGTTCGATTTAGGCCGCATACGAATGCATCCTATACGAACCACTGCTCTGCCAGGCATGGCGTGTGATGGTCCTGCAGCACGGATGCCAGCCCCGCCATGCTGTTTAGAGTGCCGCGGTCCGACTCGCCCAACTTCTCCAGTCTTCCCTCAAAAGCCTCTCGTAGAAGTCGCTCAGCTTCATCGAAACGCGCACGGCTTTGATATCTGTGGCCTAACTCGGAGAGACAGTCGAAGGTCTTGCTGTCAAGGCTTCCTGCTGACATTCGCAACTTTGCCAGACGCCGCTCCAGCAGATTGATGACATCATCGGTGCTCGCATGTGCATGTCCGACTGCTCCGGCCTCAGCAATCCGGATGATCCAGACATCCCGGTTAGAATGCACGGGGCGTCCTTTGTAATCTTCTCCAAGGCGTACGTGCCTGGTCTCTCCGTTTCTGTCTTCCACCACCTTCGCGGCAATGTCTGGCGTTTGTCTCTGGAAGATGTTGTAGGCCATGTCTCTTGGTACGATGAGTGGTATGCAATATGCAGCCCGGTGCCCGTGCCTGTTCTCATCACCCCACTCCCTGACCCTTTGAGCACCCTCTGCATCTAATGGGTCACGTAGGGGATCGCCGTTGCTGTAGTTGTTTAGCAGGATGCGCGTGCGGGAGTTCCAGACAGCGGGCTCGTGCTGGCTGGCATATAGACCTTTCCCGAAATGGGCCCTTTCATCAAGCAAAGATGCAAATAGCTGAGAAGACGACTGCGTCATGTTTCCCACGTTCCTGAAGCACAAGCCATTGGTGTAGTGATAGAGTGTGAGCGGGTCCTTGCAAACTCCATCTCCCAAACCACGCAAGTCAAAGGCATGCCGCCAAACATGCACCGGTCCATCTGCGGTGTCACAGCGATAGGTGGGAATTGCTGACACCACATCCTCCGTCTATCTTTGTCCCTGAATGCATTCTCCATCTCCATATCCTCTGGCAAAGTAGCTGGACATCTCACCATCTTCGTGCCTTAGCCCAGGAGCCATCATCCGCAAGGCCTCCTGGACCTTATCACGGTGGGACGAAGGCAAGCCA